TCAGTTAAATGGCATGTTGCACAGCTTCAGTGTCACGCCTCTTTTTATACGTCACAGGTGCAGAGAAGTCTTTCGCAAACGATGCACTGGTGTTTCCTCGCTTATAGCCCGTCCGACAAGCCTCCTTGCTCCTCGAGCATTTTAAGGAATTGGGATGTCCATCAAGATGGAGCGCTGAGATCGATTTCCAAGTCACAAGCCTGAGGATGGAGGAGGCACAAAATGGAGAATGGATCGGAGGGGGCGGATATATACTCACCATTTTGCATCGGTCTGCTTCCTGTGGGGGACGAGCAGCGTGTCTGCTCGTCTGGGGAACCCTGGCTACCCTCTTTCTGCATTTGCACCAACAGTCGGGCCCTAGAGAATACACAAAGGTGTCTGCTTTCAGGCGCTATCCGTGCCCATGGCTGTTAATCCCCGCTGCATTACACACCTCTATTTGCGCACAGTAGTGTGTTTGTTTGTCTGACTGTCTGCCAGTTTACATCCAATTGTCTCTTCCTCTCCCTCTGACCCCAAACGTCCACATAGCCCGGATGCTTTAGCCGCCGCTGTAACTCTACACCCACCGTGCTGATGGGACATCACATGGGTTTCACGTCTTTGCCCCGCACGGCCTAGGCTTCCCCCTGTGCGGCCTACCTGCCTCGGCTCAGATACAGTCACCTGAGATCAACAAATAATCAAGAGATGTGCTCGGCTCCCAATAAAGCGTCAGGTGCACACCCTGAAAGCTGCCTCTATTAATATGAGGGTGAGTTAAGCCCGGGGGTGTGTGTGTCAGCTTTTCACATATTCACATTGGAAGTGGTCCACAGTGCGACTCTTGTAAGGACACAGCTCTGTAGCTGCTGATGCACTTGTCAGAAGACTATTAAAAGTCCGTCCAGCCATGGACCAAGTGCTGGCTGAGGCTTTTGTGTTTATCTGCTCCGTCAGCCGGTTCTCTCAAGGTTCTGTCTTCTGCCCAATATCATACTTGACTGGTTGAGTCTGTGAAATAATCCAAGGCTGTGGTCCAATTTTTTGCTTCGGACAGTTCCTAACTGAGTGAAATGGTCCAAAAGTGTAAAGTGTCAGCTATGATACGAACTGTTCAAATACTCTAAACACTATAGGGAAAGGTGCCTCCTTTAGCAGAGGGTACACCGGACCATCCTGTATGAAAGGAAAGGAGTTATTGCCGTCCCACAATTCCTTGCTGTGGCCACATTTAAAGCGCCACACCATCTGCTGTCCATAACAAACTGCCGTCGTTGTTTTAATTGTGTATTTATGGATTAATTGAAAACATCCTTCCAGGAAGTGTGGTTCTGTTTTGGACAGGAATCCTTACTTGAACTGAACAGCGTGGAGTTTGTCACTGTAGCCATCTTCCATTTTATATCTGTTATAAATAGAAAAAGAAAAAGCAAGCAACATCTCTCTGACCAGCCGGATCCTCTTAGCACTGCGGTTGTCTTTTCCTAAATCCTTATAAATTCTCCCTCACATCTTTCCTTGACCTCACGACATTTTCTATTAAGCTCAAGGGAAAGTGGTTCGACCGTAATCGACCGCGGCCCAAGTTTCAAAGTCCACTCTGTTCATTTGATGAATGAGAGGTTGTTTCCCTCTCCCTTTTTACCTTGAAAATAATTTGTTGTATGACGTCAGACCAATAAAACACCCTATTCTATTATACTAATGGCTTCCTACAAACGTTCCCACGGTCACTTACTCAGAGGATTTGTAGCTGGTTCAGCAGTTAATCAAAATCCAGACCACATATTTCTATAAAAGAATAACAGTCCTCATTTTTATAACACTAAGGACATATTTACAGAATGATTTGCATAGATGAGATATTAATACAGAAACAAGGTAGCGTGTTCTCTGGGTCCTCTTCCCTCTTTGATCTTGCCTAGAGAGGTAGAGTGAAGTAGATTTGTAGGAATAGATGGATGGATGAACATTGGGGCATACATCGTCCACGGCTGTCATCCGATCGTACATCTCGTCTCGGAGCAGTGAGTCACTCGGTTACTTCAGTCTGCTTTTAGACAGCCACAAGCTCAGCCCTGTCTCTTAATGGGGACTGCAGTCTGAGTCCGTATGCACTGTCCTCCAAAAACGTGGCCTGTTTGGCCCAGTTACAACTTCTCGTCTCAGAACATCCTCCATGTCGCCGTAGTGCATATAGCTACTCATCTCAGTGTGAGAGGTAGATGTTGTTGGTGTACGAAAAAGAAATCCCACCACTTTGCTTTAACGCGATAGGAAACTCGATCCCTCTTTTGCACAATACCTCCTTGAGATTTACAGATTTTGCCCGAAAGCCCCCCGTTGCTACTGTCCATGTGCGTTTTTTAGTAGCAACTTGAGTCGCATATGGAGTTGTGTTGCTCGTGTCTGCAGTGAAGGGGAAGAGGGCGCATTGCTCCACTTTCCAGAGTGCAAAGCAGGGAACACGAGGACAGGACGGGAGGAGACATTTCAAGGCTGTAGGTGAGATAGATGATAGCCCGGCCGAAGGAAGAGGGGAAACTCTTCAGCCAAAGAAACACGAGAGGCCTCTGGGTATAAGAGAGGTGTCCATGTTATGAGGACACGGATCTGCAACACTTTCCATTCTCATAAACATGCATACTCCCGCGCTGTCCGCCCTGTTCTCCTGAACACTATAAGTCACGGCACATCGGTGGCGCTGAATCATCAGGGCAGACAGTGAACGGGTCAAGAACGTGAAGACAGAATGAGTCATTAGTTGTTGGGTGAGAGGGGAGAAAAGTCAGGGATCTGTCCAGAACTGTAGAGAGGAATATTTAATCGGGTTAAGTGATGCATCCACTGAGTGGCAGAGTAGAAGGAGCAGCTGAGAATGTTGAGTGTCAGGTGTGGGTTTCACAGGGGGGGGGGGTGGTGTTTATTGCCGTGTTTACAGCGGCCTCTGGAGGGTCCGGGGTCTGACGAGGAGCAACAAATTGCTGTCGGTTAGCATTCTGCTTGTGCAACTGAGTTGCATGTGTCTTTTGTACTGAGAACAGCTGTTTGTAGCCTTCTCAGCTGGTCATTCAAAAATATAAATCTTTGAATGTCACTTTTTTTAAATGCATATTTTATACTCTGCAATCAGCTACAAACGCTGCCAGACAAAATAACAATATTATTTAATTTCAAAAGACATACAACTATATAGTTTTATGATTGGAAAAGAAAGAGCAAACAATGAAAATGTCTCCTGGAGTTTTTTAGTTTTTGCGTACTGCACAGCAAGTTTAAATTTTTTCCATTATGTGCTGCAGGTTTTCCTCTTCAGCACTCCTTATGAAGCATGTCACTGTAGTCAATAAAAGGTCAGTATTGCAAACAACATTGCCTGCACCAAATGTCAAGCGATGTGCTGTAGAGACACAAAAAGATGTGTACTAAAATATGACAAAGTGGGCGTTTCAGGGACAAGCAGCAGCAAGAATCGAAGGGAACTGAACTCAGTAGTGTGAACATAAAATAACGTGTCCTGCAAAAGAAAAGCCAGTGATTTATAAACGTGTCGTGTTTGTGTGTCGGCTGCAGGATGACCAGGTGATTCTGCAGTGCACGGCCTCCATCCTGAAGGAGCAGCAGATTAAGCTCTGTCTGTCCTGCGAGGGCTTCGGGAACCGTCTCTGCTTCCTGGAAACCACATCCAACGCTCAGGTAAGAGTCTCTCTCTCTCTCTCTTTTTGTCCGTCCTGTACTGTATGTACACCGTGTGTTCATCAACTCTTTGTTTTTTCCCCCTCTGTGCTGTGTATACGTTGGGCAGAATGTGCCCCCGGACCTGGCCATATGCAGCTTCGTTCTGGTGCAGTCCCTGTCGGTCCGCGCTCTGCAGGAGATGTTGGCCAACACGGTGGAGATGACCGAGGTAGGACTCCAAATGAGCAATAGGTAGAAGAATGTTTGGAAAGGGGATGGAGACTGGACCTTCTTTTTGAATGAATGATAAATAAAGAAATACACTTTGGTATGAAGAATATTTCTGACTGATGAAAACTATGTCTGTTCTTTTTATAATGTAGTCGACTATCTAGTTTTGTTGACAGATTTTCTTAAGCACACCGTTTTCTTTTAGTTTAGTGTTCCTCAATACCTTTTCACTAAGAGGAACACTACGACATCTATGGAAATATGTATCTTTGCTGTTTTACATAAGAAATCAAACACCAATTTAATCTCTATGTCCAGTATGTAACAAAAAAGTGCTTAGCTTAGCACAAAAACCTGGAAGCTCCAACAACAATGCCTTCCATACATTTAAAAACTATCCTTTTTACGTGTTGTATCTCAAGTTTATAATTTTGTTATTGATCTTCTCATGTGACTGTTGGTGAGAGGGCCACCAAGCATATTTAAGATTCAAGATATCTTATTTTTATTTGTAATCAGCTTTAATCCGCCTACCCCAGCTATGAAGCTCCAATTTGTAACCCAATTTTATTCCACTATTATTATAAGACATTACATATACAAGGTTTGCACAGAAGATGTTGCTTTACAGATGATAAATGAGACTTGATATGTTCCTTCAACTGATTTATAATTTAAAACGTATGCCTGTCTTTATCATTATATCTACTAACTGTACTCAAACCTGTACCAGCACCAACATGGATTAAAGGATTTAGGTTCCAGGTTCCAGTCCTGTGTTTTGTTAGAGGGGCTTTTTGTTTAAATATGGATCACAGATTGGGCGTTTTTCTATTGTAAAGCGTCCTGTACATCATGATCCTTCAGTCTATGTGAGCACCATAGATGAACTCTGCTTTTATTTTCCTATGATTTCTTAAAAACCTTTATCTGACACCCTCCCCTCCGCTTCCCTTCCTGCTCTCTGCCAAGCAGGCAGTCGATTTGGACCAATGGGTATGTCTGTTAATGTGTCTGTCTTCCTGTAACGTGTGTGCCGACCAACCCGGCGACCGTCCTGGTTCCTCTCCTGTTGCCCACTCACTGTCCTATTGAATGAAGTAGTGCTGTATCATTCACACATCTGCACTCATACCCGTCCACTGTCTTTAGATACATCTTTTATGCTGATATTAAAAACTGGTTCCTGGAAAGATGGAAATAACAACAAAGAAGCTTAATTGAAACATTTGATCTAGCGAGGTGTCACAATGCATCATTCATTTGCGTTTCATGCAGAAATATCACCAGCAGATTTGTCTTCTTGCCTCATACATGTTACGGTACCTCACCCTGCTTGATGTTCCTTTTTGTTTCAGCACATTTGTTCTTTGTTGACGTTGAGTTGATTTCTGTTCCCCTTTGAATACAGAACATGTTTTCACACTGCTGCAAAAAATGACTCCAGCCTTATCCAACTTAGCTTCCTTTAAAAACATGGAAATCAATACAAGTTTAATATTTTTCTTTTCTGATGGATAACTTGTCAAACATATTAAAAAACACATAATTCTGATATATTTGCTATCTGTCTTTGAATGCAAGTTACGACTATAATTTAAAGCAAAAAGATTTCTATATTTCACTATTCTGACATAGTCCTAAAAATGTCCAATTGAACCGAAACCCCATTTATCCCGAAAACAGATGGCCATTGCTCCGCAGGCCCATTGCTCCGAAAGTGCAACGAACAGAAGCACATGGCCAATTATTATGCACAATGACCTCACCAGACCGTATTTATATATTTTTTTCCTACTATGGCAAAGGCATGACCCGCCCTACTCTGCCTCTGATTGGCTCACCCTGATATTTCTACCCTAACCCTAACCAATCTCACTCCTCATGCCTAAACCTAACCAACCCGACCAACAAAGGCACCGAGTAATAATCAGACCTGTCTCTTTGTTAGCGCGATATCTCAATAAGTAATGCACAGATTTTAACATGGGCCAAGGGTGATGCTGAGGGAACATGGGACGGACCCCGACATGAAAATCACGCATAATAATAGAGACAGATTTAACTGAAAATGTGGACAGAAAAGTCCATATTTCAGCTTTTTTATAAGATAGATGACAGAAACCTTCTCTGGCTGAGGCTAATGGAACTCTAGAGAGGCTCTCGATTCGCGGCATTTTATTAGTTTCATTATTGCAGCTGGCTCGGTCAGTTCCTGGCCTGACAGGAGTTGGGAGTTGTGGACGAGCCAGGCCTTTGAACTGGTGAGCAGGGGATTGAGAATTGCGTGGCATGCAGCCCAGTGGAGGGTCCCGCCCGCCTCTGTCAGGGCTGGATGGGGAAACCCGACACCCCCAGAGCACTGGACAGGCCTATCCCCCTCCTTATTAACACGCACCGCTACCACCACCACCTGTCCTCACCAGGCCTGGCGCTTATGCACACCAGGGCTAATGGTGCAGTGTTGCCACTTGACACACCGGCCCCCGACTCGTCCCAGTGGATTATGGGTGCTTAACCCCACAGAAGGGTTTAGCATTCTCCTCCTGTGGGCTCCACTAAATGGTTGTTTTGGCTAATCTATCTATAACTCTCCCAGTAATTGTGTTTTCTTATTCCATCCTTGCTGGATGTTGAGAAAAGGTAGGATGGATTAATGTTATGTTTGCTGTTTATGTGAGATTATAATCTGTGGTGATTTGTTTTGCTTTGTCAGTCCCGTCATTGTGATCCCTTCTCTGAGAATTATGATTTTTTTCAGCAGAGCATCTTCCCAGTTTCAGCAATGTCTCCACACTGCTTTGCTATTGATGTGGTTCTTGTTATTTTTCTTGTATTTGCATAAGAATGGACCCCGACACGTCCTGTACGGTATTTGTTTTGGGAAAGAGTCATTGTTCAGCGATGTGGAGCTGTTAATTGATATTGTTTCATAGTTATTGTGCACAACTGACTCACTACAGTATTCTTTTCAGGGATGTTGCCACGGTAAATGTTGTAAATTGCCACAATTATCTACATTCACTTTGCCCACCCGTCTTATCCGTCCCATTCTAATCTCTCCTGTATCTCTGTCTCTACAATAAAATGACAGCAGATGTTTTACCCGCAAAGGATATACTTGGACAGTCTGTTTTATGTCACATGCAACATATGCAGTAATATTAATATACAGCAATGTTATATTTGACATACAGTGCTACATTCAACATAGAACAAAACAATACAGTCTCAACAACAAAAGTGTCGGTGCAAGTTGGTCATGATGTGTTTTTTCAGTTATTCACAGTCTAGACCCTCAATGTGCTCCTCTGATCTCTGCACCTTCTAAAATACATCATTTTTTCCCCTCCTTGTCTCATCAAGGTGTATTCAAACTGTATCGTCAGTCTTGACAGGCTGGTCTGTTAAATATCTCTCTGTCTTCTTCCCCTCCAGTCGTCCCAAGGTGGGGGTCATCGTACCTTACTGTACGGTCACGCCATCCTTCTGAGACACTACCACTCAGGCATGGTAAGTTGGTTGGAAGAAAATAATATATGATGGTTTAGTTCCACTTTCTTTACTGTGGTTTACAGCCTCATTTGGGTTTTTTATCTGCGTTGTAGCAAAGTAGTGCAGTCATGTCCTGAATAACAACTTTCTCCCCAGTACCTGAGCTGTTTGACTACATCTCGGTCTCTCACGGACAAGCTGGCCTTTGACGTGGGCTTACAAGAAGACGCCACTGGTAAAACCAAATTTGGAAATCCTTTTTCAAGCTTTTTCTCTGAGCTGAAACTCATTATCCTCTGGTAGTGTTGTTACATTTTGTTTTATTTTTGGGGATGATATGGTTTTTGAATTTCGCCGAGTTGGCCACCTTAAACTACTGAGAAAAATGGAGCCAGAAGTGCATATCTACTATTGCAGAGCATAAGGCCTGTCACAAATCATGATGACTACTTTTGTCGGGCAACATGTTGTCTCAGTGTTATTGCCAATTTAAGACCATTTATGCCACTGATATAATGACAATGTATAGTAGCATAACAATGCAAGGACACCCTTTCAAAGAGCAGTGGACTTTTAATTCTTAAAAATATTTAGACATTGGAATTTGGAATGTATTTTTCGTGACAGGCCTACAGTACAATTCTTTCGCTTTGTACTTTAGCTGAGAAATATACATTGTTATGATAATGGTTAATGTGTGGAGCAGTATGTTGTAGGTTAACTGTCAGGGCTTTTGTTTTTTGTTTCAATACACTGTGAGTGAAGATATCAGTTGCAAGTCACGATCTCTGTTTGTTCTTCTTCGTGCAGGTGAGGCATGTTGGTGGACCATCCATCCAGCCTCCAAGCAAAGGTCAGAAGGTGAAAAGGTCCGGGTGGGTGACGACCTCATCCTGGTCAGCGTGTCCTCTGAGAGATACCTGGTAACACTCCTCATACCCCATCCACTGTGATGTTAAACAATGGAAGATTAAGACATGGTTAATCTGTGCTAAACTCCATCTTTTCCGCTCCTCTTCTCCACCTCCGTCCTCAGCACCTTTCCTACGCCAGTGGGGATCTGATGGTGGACGCCTCCTTCATGCAGACTCTGTGGAACATGAATCCGATCACTTCAGGATGCGAACTTGCTGAGGGTACAAACCTGCCTCACACATTTTGCTCTAAGATAACCAAGAGACATTTACACACTCACTGTGGTGCGTATTCCTCCTCCCAGGGTTCCTGACAGGAGGTCACGTTCTCAGGCTGTTCCACGGCCACATGGACGAGTGTCTGGCCATCGCTACTCCAGAGGAAGGAGAGGAGAAGCGCAGGTGAGAGGAAGAGGACGCGGAGTGTTTCTGAGCAGCAAAATATCTCGTCAAGCTGATACCATATGATCGAATGTGTCTCTGCTACAGGATGGCCCACTATGAAGGCGGTGCCGTGTGCAGTCAGGCTCGTTCCTTGTGGAGGTTGGAGCCTCTGAGAATCAGGTGGTTAATTGACTTATGCCAGATAAACTTTGTTGACAGAATTATTTTTGGTGAGTGATAAGTCAATTTTATTTAGAGCTCCCGAACCCAAATTGGGAGCTGGTTCCACAGGAGAGAAGCTTGATATCTGAAGGCTCTGGCTCCCATTCTACATTTGGAGACTATAGGAACCACAAGTAACCCAGGATTCTGGGAACGCAATGTTCTAATGGGCAATTAGAGTACTTTGGGCTCATTAAGATAGGATGGTGCCTGACCATTCAGGGCACTGTAGGTGAGGAAAGGATTTTAAGTTCTATATGTGATTTTAAAGGGAGCTGGTGCAGAGAAGCCAATATGGGAGAAAGCTGTCCTCTGGATCAACTGGAGAGTCTGGCCTTGAAGTAACAAATGCATAGATTTCTGCATAATTTGGAGACAGGATGTGCCATATTTTTGCAATGTAACACAGGTGATAAAAGACAGTCCTTTTAATTTAGTTTTTAATGTGGGAGTAAAAGGACATATACCAATCAAAGATAACTCTGAGATTCTTTAGGGTTGTGCTGGAGGCCAGGGCAATGCCATCTAGAGTAATAAGATAACTTGTTTCGGAGGTTTTTGGTACAAAGTACAATGTATACAAGAAAATGACAGGTCATTTAGGTTTTTATGTCCTTAAGGCATACTTGGAGTTTAGCTACCTGGTTGGTTTCATCTGGCTTGATCAACAGACATGATTGGGTATCATCTGCATAAGAATAAAAATTGAAAAGATACAAAAATAAAAGAAATGTGAGGAAAGCAAGAAGAGGATGACATGCAACAAGTCTCCTAACATAATCAAACTGATTACATGGATGTTGTGGTTACATTTAAACTACTAGGCTACAAGCTCACTTTTTAACAACAAACACCGGAGAATGATAATAATGATATCGCAGTAACTGGACAACTTTGTTGGCTTTTTAATATGTTGTTTTCCCCCCTAATTTCTTCCTGCAGCTGGAGTGGTGGCCACATGAAGTGGGGTCAGTCTTTCCGTATTCGTCACATCACAACAGGCCGGTACCTGTGTCTGGATGAGGAGAAGGGTCTGTTGGTGGTCGACCCAGAGAAGGCCAAAACCAAACTCTCCGCTTTCTGCTTTCGTGCTACAAAGGTGAGAATTAACATTTTGAGTTTCTCTGGTGTCTTGCCTTTGGTTTCTGTCCATCTGTTTTTAGGCTTTGATTTCTTCTCTCATTGACCTCTCTGTGATTTTCTCCCACCCCTCTTTTCCCCCTTGGTTTTCCCGAGCAGGACAAGGTGGAGGTGGCTCAGAAGCGTGATGTTGAGGGGATGGGCATTCCAGAGATAAAATATGGAGAGTCCATGTGCTTTGTCCAGCATGTGTCCACAGCCCTGTGGCTCACGTATGCCGCCTTGGATGCCAAAGCTGCTCGTCTGGGAATGATGAAGAGAAAGGTCAGGATCTTCACTGTCTCAATGTATGAGCCTAACTAAGTTAGTGCTGATTATGTGTACAATGGTATTGGTTATGTCCAGACTTTTAATAACATTTATAGTCATACAACAATAAAGATAGAAAGTAAACTAAAGTAATGGTACCACCTTAACACCAGAAGAGTTTGCATGAAACAGATATTTGTCTTTGAGGTTTCTTGGCTGAAGTTGTGTTGTTTAATGATGTAGACTAACTGTCTGAGTATCTTAAGCACAGGATTAGCATACTTAATTGACACAGCCACTAGAAACAGACGTTGTAGGAGAAGGACAGAGAACTGTGAGGCATAATTGTTAAAAAAGGCCTCAGAGTGAGAAGACTGGATTTTGTTGGTGTGCAGTCCATTATCTACGTACGAGAACATTTGTAATAAATGTACTTTCTGTTAGAAATGGAGTTTAAGAGGGAGAAGTAGCTACTAATTGTGGTTCAAAAGAGAAGGTTTTAAGCGTTTAATGGCCCCATAGCGGTTATGTCAACAGGGAATTTATGGTGAAGGACGGGGTTAATTGTCATGATTGCACTGAAATACTGTCATGCGCTGTGTTGTGTACAGTGAGGCAAGAAGCTGTGCAGGTGTTACTAATTAAGGCATGGTGTGCTTGAACCCTTAATTTGGAGTATCATACCTTTGTTAATCAACTGGTATTAGATTTACCATCAACACAATTCCTGCTGCAATTATAGATCATTTGAGTAATTAGGGTTGTGTGAGTTGTGGTCCAACTCTTTATTTTCATCACTTAAACTGTAGCAAAGTGAAATAATGATTATTTCTTCCATAACTTGTAATTATTTACCGTGGTGCATTACGCTGTACAAATGGCCGAGTGTGTGTGATTGAAGCTCAACTAAGTAACAGTGCCGGTTCTCATCGGACGGCCTGTAGCGATTCAACTTTCCACATCAGCTTGAGATACTTTAATAATTCTGTTGTCCATGTCCCCAGGTCATTCTGCACCAGGAGGGCCATATGGACGACGCCCTTACTGTGTCCCGCTCCCAGACTGAAGAGTCTCAGGCTGCTCGAATGATTTACAGCACTATGGGCCTCTTCAGGCTGTTCAACAAGTAAGTGTGTACATTTTCAAATGTGGGGGGGGGGGGGATGAGTAGAACATTCTTCTTGACAGGATACAGTGATGTTCATAATTGTTGATGTGACCATATTTTGATCTGAAACCTGCAAACTATGAAGTGGGATAAAGAAATGTTTGACATTTCTTGTTTGTATTCTTCCAGGGGTTTGGATGCTCTGAAAGGGAAGAACAAGTCACCGGGGGCTGCGTGTCTTCCTCTGGAGGGGGTCATCCTCTCTCTTCAGGATCTCATCTTCTACTTTCGTCCTCCCGAGGAGGAACTGGAGCACGAGGAGAAGCAGACCAAACTTCGCTCCCTCCGCAACCGACAGAACCTCTTCCAAGAGGAGGTAATCTGCGAGCAATCTGCAAAGCCTCACACACACTATTACAAGTCTTTGATGATTTTACCATCTGTTCCTATAACTAAAATAAATTCACTTCGCAAAGGGGAACTTGCACTTTGACGGCACTGAGGACTTTTATGCCCTCATGCAGTTTTCTTAACTTTATTTAGCATCAATACATTTGTTGTTTTCATCACTGGTGAGGACATTGTGCCAATTTACATTTAATCCCTGGAGGTTTACCATAACCTCCATCACAAGTACCCTAACCTACATACCCAAACCCAACCCTTACCAAATCCTTAACCTGTAACTCTAACTTGGACCAAATTCCAAGTCTTAACCCAAGTGGACAAGAACACATGCAAGCTTGCTTTATTGCTTTATCTGTGAGGACTACCAAACTATTTAGCATTTTCAGAGCAATAAGTCGGCAAGGATGCAAAACTGAGCAGCATTTGGCCAACCAAATGTATTTATTGTACTAGCACTGACGTTTTGCATATAGAAAACACCATTTAGGCTGCTGGGATTGCTCTATATCTAACCCACTGTGTTGGTTTAGATGCTGAAATGCTGAAGTTGAAATACAGAAATGTTTTAACTTTGAGTGATTGATTTTATTTCTGTACAGTAGCTAACATTGCTCGGCTATTACAGAGCAATGTAATGTAAACGCCTAATAATTAGCTTGAACAAACTTTGTTTGTTAATACAATGAGATCTTGTTGAATATCACATCCATGAGGCGCTTCAGAGCAGACAGATAACAGGTAATGAACCTGACTTTCTCAGCTATAGCAAAGTTCAAGCTGCATGCCAAGTTTATGTTCATTGTGATGTTGATTAACATCAATGGTGTTCTTTTGCCTAAATAATTATTAATACCACCAAATGAAAACTAAAGTGGTCAGGTGGGGACCCATAGGTTTATGCATATTTCTCCTTGTTGCATTTAGTTTTGCTTGAAATATGACCGATGCGTTTTAACTGGAGCTGAAGTTATACGTAAAAATGAAGTCAGTGTCCTGGGATGGTGTGCTCAAAAAATGTCTAATTTTCAGGTAAAATAATACCTATTGAGGACCCTAATTGAAATAATGATCAGCGTTTTACCCTCACTTGAACATCACAAGGTCATGCCAAACCCAAACAGTTGATTAACCTGTAGTATTCTAACCTCAACACTAAAGCCACACTACTGCCAGCAATGTAAACAAAATACATATATAAAAAAAAACGATGTGTGCATAACCTTTCCGCTCTCCCCCTCGTGTTTCTCTTTTTCTTCCTCAGGGAATGATCACCATCGTGCTGGAGTGCATCGACCGGCTGAACGTGTACAACACTGCTGCCCACTTCTCTGAATTTGCCGGGGAGGAAGCTGCAGAGTCCTGGAAGGAGATTGTCAACCTTCTTTACGAGCTGCTGGGTAGAAGAATCACTGTGAACGTAAAGTGCAAATGATATGCTGTCTGTACTGAGTAAAGTAACATCAATTCACACTCTTGTGTTTCCGCTGAACAGCTTCTCTAATCAGGGGGAACCGCTCTAATTGCGCGTTGTTCTGTGACAACCTGGACTGGCTGGTCAGCAAGCTGGACCGTCTGGAGGCCTCCTCAGGTACCCAGTGTGCCTCACATATTCACTGATACCCCTCCCAACTTAAAGTTGATCTTTAGAAATGGCTATTTGCTTTTTTTACCTCCTGTAGTTATTAGTTATTAGCTGTGAGCTAATGAGATCCTAAAAACAAACATGATTTGAATATAATTCTTATCAGAATACATAATGACTCGACTCGTATGCACTTAGTTAGGAAGTGTTGTTATGGTTGAGCCATTTATTTCTTTTGAACCGTGTTCTCATTAGCGATGTGTTTTAATTGAATAGCTTTATTTCTTCATTATTTTTGATGTAGTAACTCTTACTGCTGTTAAAAAGTGATATAAAAAAAATAATTGATCATATTCCTCCTCTCTATACACGTAGGTATTCTTGAGGTGCTGTACTGTGTGCTAATTGAAAGCCCTGAGGTTCTGAACATCATCCAGGAGAACCACATCAAATCGATCATCTCTCTCCTGGACAAGCACGGACGGAACCACAAGGTTTGTCTCTTCTCGCTGCCAGGAACAGGGTGGGGGAGTAACGTCTCTGGCACGGTTGCCTACTTAAACGGACACTTTTGCAGGCGGGGATTTGGAAAGTTATAGCATCCTGAAAGCGTATTTGGCTCATAAAAACGCTTCTTGGTTATGGAATTCCTTCAGCAATTGTAGCCAGTGAACACTAAATTTAAACATAGAGGTGATTGTAATGTCTGTCTTTAGGTCCTGGATGTCCTGCGCTCTCTTTGTGTGTGTAATGGTGTCGCTGTGAGGTCCAACCAGAACCTCATCACTGAAAACTTGCTGCCGGGTCGTGACCTCTTGTTGCAGACCAGCATCGTAAACTATGTCACCAGGTGCTTGAGCGGCTGTTAGTTGTCAGGGTCTTTGCTATTTATTTTTTCTTGTGAAAATAAGGTAATCAACCCCCAAAATGGTAGTTGTCTGAAAAAGTAAATTTCATTTCTCTTCTGCGCTCAGTTTGAGACCCAACATCTTCCTGGGTACATGCGAGGGGTCCACGCAGTACAAGAAATGGTACTTTGAGATGATGGTAGACTACGTGGAACCCTTTGTGACGGCGCAGGCCAGCCACCTGCGTGTGGGCTGGGCTATGACCGAGGGCTACAGCCCCTACCCTGGAGGAGGAGAAGGCTGGGGAGGCAACGGTGTGGGAGATGACCTCTACTCCTATGGCTACGATGGACTGCATCTCTGGTCAGGTGAGATGATTCCCCTGACTTATTCACTCCATCTCCCATGATGCTGTACGTCTTGTTCTTTGACTCGCTCGTTCTCTGCCGTTCAGGCACCGTACCTCGCCAGGTGGCTGCGCCCAGCGCACACGCCCTGGCTGCAGACGACGTCGTCAGCTGCTGTCTGGATCTGAGCGTGCCCAGCATCTCCTTCCGTATTAACGGCCACCCAGTTCAGGGCATGTTTGAGAACTTCAACGTGGACGGCCTCTTCTTCCCCGTCATCAGCTTCTCTGCTGGAGTCAAGTAAGTACAAAATAAAGATTGCCTTCCTGTATTTTATACATTTTATTTCTATTTCTGTTGGGTTATTACTTGCTAATTTTATCGATTCACATGTTAACATCTTTATTTAACCAGTACAACAGTAAATTAATCTAACAAATATGAATGCAATGCAATTATGCAGGCGCAGATGCAGACTTAACAGTTTCTCAGGTTGTCTGTATGCGCCACAGAATGAAGACAGAAAAACTGGCAGAATATTAACATTTTTACATGACTTCTAATTCAATTAATTTCTTTAAATGATCTCTCAAATAATCCCTCTAAAACCTGCAGTGTCCCACAGAAGACATTTTACAGCTGCTGTGTGTGTGTGTGTGTGTGTGTGTGTGTGTGTGTGTGTGTGTGTGTGTGTGTGATGATCGTCACAGTGCTGAGATGGGGCTATTGGTTAATTGACTGACGAGAGCAGGGAGGGAAACACTCAGGAATTGGCGCAGAGAATAAATCAATTATTCCTTCATTATGAGTCTTGTACAGATCAGGGCACTGTTGCCATAAAGGATTTAAGCAGCATATAAATATCTGCGTCTGTCGCCTCAGGGCTCGGTTCCTCCTTGGCGGCCGTCATGGCGACTTCAAGTTCATGCCCCCGCCCGGCTACGCCCCGTGCTACGAGGCCCTGCTGCCCAGAGACAGGATGCGTATTGAACCCATCAAGGAGTACAAGCACGACTTCCAAGGCGTGCGCAACCTGCTGGGTCCCACGCTGTCCCTCACCCACACCTCGTTCACCCCCTGCCCCGTGGACACTGTTCAGGTAAAAGCTCCAAACCTCAAATGAGACTGGCGTCAGAGTGCCTCATATGATCGTTTGTTTGCGTTTGCTGACTTTCCTTTGCCGTTTAGATCGTGTTGCCACCCCACTTGGAGCGTATCCGAGAGAAGCTGGCAGAGAATATTCACGAGCTCTGGGCTGTCACCCGCATTGAGCAGGGCTGGACCTATGGGGGCGTGAGTACTGAGCCAGCACTGCGGTACAGACGCAACAGAATAGGAGTATTGATTTTACAACCTCACATTGAGATGATTTGGAGCTCTTGAGTAATGTGGGAGTAATAGTTCAAAATGCTACTGTGTGTATTCATTTCACAATAAAGGTCAGACCATAGTTTATAATCTATAGGGGCCCAGTATCTGACTCATATACTTAAAAAATACTTTATTATTATTATTATTATTATATTCTTTTAATTCCAGCATGCCGTAAAACTTCAATTTTAAGCTGAGCTCCGATTAAACGGCGAGTCCCTTTGGTCACCGTGTGTGGCTTCACAGTTTTACAAATACACGCAGGACTCAGACGATGAGAACAATGATTTCAAATATCTCTGGTAAAAATACAGACATGAAGTAGAGGTGAAACTAAACTCACCCCCTTTTTAGGCTGAAATAAATCTTGATGACTTGATTGATGTATCAACCAGAGGCAAAGAACGCATACATTAATCATAAGTTAGCTGTTGTTTTTTTGACTAGTGAGTAAACTCCAGTCATCTTCCTCCACAGTTCAGAGATGACAACAAGAAACTCCATCCTTGTCTGGTGGACTTCCAGAGTCTCCCTGAACCAGAGAGGAACTACAACCTGCAGATGTCTGGCGAGACTCTCAAGTGAGTTTGTGATGGATGTTCTGTAGAGGTTTCTGTCTGAGAGATGTGTCCACGGACATACAATGTGTCCTCCTACCCTCACAATTGTTGATATTGTGCCTTGTTTTTACCACAGGACTCTGTTGGCGCTGGGTTGCCACGTTGGTATGGGTGACGAGAAAGCAGAGGAGAATCTCAAGAAGATCAAGCTGCCCAAGACGTATGACGACAGATATTACAGTTGTATTAACGTTCCACATGGTCTTTTCTGTATGCCTGAATATGAACTTTCGTCTGTCCTCTAGCTATGTGATGAGCAATGCATTCAAGCCTGCCCCCCTTGACCTCAACCATGTCAAACTGACGCCAAACCAGAACCAGCTTGTAGAAAAACTGGCAGAAAATGGACATAACGTTTGGGCAAGGGACCGGGTACGACAAGGATGGACCTACAGTATTGTGCAGGTATCAATTTCAATTCATTTTTTAGTCCTTGGAGTTTCATTTATATCACCTCAATTCTCTTAATTCTCTTATCTTAAGACCATGTCCATTTATAGGTAGAATCCAATGTAGGATTGGTGCCATGGTGCCATTCCAGTGTTATTCAAGATTTTTTCTGTTTTTACATCAAGTCGTATTCTGTTATGCTTCTCAGGACATCCTGAATAAGCGAAACCCTCGTCTGGTACCTTACAACCTGCTGGACGAGAGAACTAAGAAAACCAACCGAGACAGCGTCAACAACGCCGTCCGCACCCTCATTGGCTATGGCTACAACATTGAGCCTCCCGATCAGGAGAGCAGTGAGTCGACATGTGTTTATTTAATCCTGAACCTCATTGACTTCTCAAATATCTCCATCCTTCTTAATCTCATCTGTCATCTTTCCCCTGCAGCTGGCCATGGCCTGGAGAACACCCGCGGGGACAAGGTACGGATCTTCAGGGCAGAGAGGTCGTACGCCGTCACCCAAGGAAAGTGGTACTTTGAGTTTGAGGCTGTTACCACGGGGGAGATGAGAGTGGGCTGGGCACGTCCTAGTGTCCGCTCTGACACTGAGCTGGGAGCAGATGAACTGGCCTACGTCTTCAACGGCAACAAGGTCAGTCCGCAACTTTCACCGAAATGAAATCAGTGTCCGTGTGATTTAATAGATAGTGAGCTGTTTAAAGTTCTTTCCAAAACTTTCCAAAACTTTGATTCATATCTCATCGGTTCAAACTAAAAGGAAGAACTTTGAAGAATTGAATATGTGCGGTCCCTTAAATTGTACGTGTGGCTTGAAAATATACCTCAGTGTTATCAAATCCAACATTCAGTTGGGCAACACCAAGACATGTCTAAGTACCCAGAAAGGATTACTAGAGCACACCGTAGCCTGACAGTGATGTCTCTTTTTATTCTTTGAAGGGAAATTTGAAGTAATATTTTATAAATCACTTATTGAACCCTTTCCAGGCTCAGAGATGGCATGTTGGCAATGATTCCTTCGGTCGCCAGTGGCTGTCTGGTGATGTCGTCGGCTGTATGATCGACCTGACTGAGATGAACATCATGTTCACACTCAACGGAGAGATGCTGATCAGTGACTCGGGCTCGGACATGGCCTTCAAAGACATTGAAATTGGGGAAGGTAAGAGTCACTATGCGATCAGCATTAGTAGCAGTAACGGAAAGGAAGTATCTGTTGACATCAAACTTACAGGATATTAGCACAACTTCACAGTTACATAGTAAACAATAACCTTCCTGTGTTTCTACCCCTCAGGTTTTATACCGGTGTGTGCCCTGGGCCTGTCTCAGGTTGGAAGGATTAATCTTGGGCAGAATGTCAGCAGCTTGCGCTATTTTGCCATCTGTGGCCTGCAGGAAGGATTCGAACCTTTTGCCATCAACATGAAGCGAGACATTACCATGTGGTTCAGTAAAAGTCTGCCCCAGTTCGTGCCTGTACCCTCCGATCACAATCATATTGAGGTGATTACTCAGTGACACTTTTAATGTCTAATGAATGAATAGAACCGGATCATTTATTCATCTTTTGAACATCATGTCTCCCAGGTCTCCCGTGTGGACGGGACTGTGGACAGCGCCCCCTGTCTGAAGCTGACCCACAGGACCTTTGGCTCGCAGAATGCCAACACAGATATGATGTTCCTCCGACTCAGCATGCCCGTCCAGTTCCACGAGATCTTCAAGTTCCAGGCAGGCACGACCCCTCTCACCCGTGCCCTCACCATACCAGAGGAGGAAGTGATAGTGGTGGAGCCAGACTCGGAGTTCGAGGTTCTGAAGAAGTCGGCCGGCCGCAAGGAGCAGGACGATGAAAAGAAGGAGCCATCTGTACCGAAGGAGATCTCTGTGGAAAACGAGAAGGACACAGCGTCAGAAAAGGGAAAGAAAAAAGGGTAAGTGTGGTGTCTTTTTAGAGGAGAGGAACAAGCCTGCTGAGCATTTAAGGTGCAGGTTATTATGTAAAAATCATTTCACAGTGAGCGTCCAAATATACGTTATCCTTTTTGCACATTAGATTCTTCTTCAAGGCCAAGAAGGTTGCCATGACACCTCTTTCCCCTCCTCCTCCTCCTGCAATGGTGCCCCGGTTGGTGGAAGATGTGGTCCCTGATGACAGAGATGACCCTGAGTTCATCCAGAATACCACCACTGTAAGCTGAACACTATCCACTGCTAATGCTGGATTTACAGCACGTTAAAATGATCCCTCCAGTTTGTGCAAAGTCCCCGGGTAAGACTGGCACAAACTGCTGAGCCTGCTCATGAGGACTTAACTGTGCATTAGGTGCCATCATTCTATTTTAAGTCATTTTAGGATCTCTAGATAATCCAATATTACTGCTCCTAAATGTCTCACTCTATTTTCAGTATTACTACTCGTTGAGGATCTTTGCTGGGCAGGAGCCGTCTGGTGTGTGGGTTGGCTGGGTCACTCCTGACTACCACCAGTACGATCCAACCTTTGACCTCTCCAAAGTGCGCAGCGTCACTGTTACTGTGGGAGATGACAGAGGCAACATACACGACAGGTTAGTATTTCCCTCATCTGAATGGTATTATATTAACGGGAGCAACGTCGGTACTTGGAGGTACGTCTCCCGGAGCTGCTGCAGGCTCTCCTGTGGGCGAATTAGTTTAGCAGATTATTAGTGAGACTTTCAGCAGGTGGGTTGAATTTTGCGTTTATAACCGCTGACTGAAAATTTGGATTATGTGGACCCAGTAGTAGAGGTGAAATGGCGTCCCCTATTTATTTGGAGCATGTGTCCAATTCTTAAACATTGCACCATTTTTTAAAATGTAAGTAATGTGATTCAGGCTCGCTGTGTCATTCATTCACACGCGGGTTGGAGTAAGGACAAAGGGCAGTAAAAAAACATGTCTCTTTCTACTATGTGCTTTACTTCTGGTGATTGCATTCACCCTTCAAAAAAATCATGAAAGTGGTGTTCAGATTGTCTTGCTGCACAAAGCGTGTAAGTATCATAAAATTGTGTTTGCCACAGAGTTTATTTTCTGCAATGATCTAAAATTCATTAGAAAAATTACGTTGGCTTTTTGTCAAGAGAACCAGTGCGACGCTAACTCCTTGAGTTGCCCTACAAAAACACATCATCCCTGCAGCACTCTATTTCATAGCTTTAAAGACGCATTGTCAAGAAAGGACACTGGATGAGGAGACAGGACTGTTTTATGTTCACCAATCATGTGCTGGAAAAGTGGTGCAGCTCTGATTATTCACAATAATAATCAGGCAACTGAAGCCCCAAAGCTGGAAGTTTCCACATTTTATTGGTGTGCACTGTGCAGTCCATTGTGTGTGTACAAGAAAGTGAACAGTAAATGGTCTGTTATTAAGAAAAATATCTTGAAAGTTATCTAAATAGAGTTTTGAAGGGAGAAGTAGCTACTAACTTTGGTTAAAAAGGGAAGTTATAAGCTTTTAATTGGTTCACCTGTTGAAAGGCCCGATTCATTTGCAGACTTTAAATTGTGCAAACAGACTTATAAGTATTACAGTATTATAAGTTCTCTGTCCTCGAGATGAGAGGCAGCTCATTTAGCTGCTGGAGGATGGAGGGGAAACCCTGTTTCAACTTAACTAATTCTCCCCTTTGTTTTGTTGTTGTCTGTCTGTGTTGTAACTGAGCACTTCGGGTCATCTGCATAATGAGTCAGCTGCCATATCAAAGAAAACAAGATGAGTTTTACCGTAGTGTTTGCTGTTTCTCTGCAGCATGAAGCACAGTAACTGTTACATGGTGTGGGGAGGAGACCTGGTCAGCAATCAGCAGACCCGCTTCAGCCAGGAGGACATGGTGATTGGCTGCTTGGTCGACCTGGCAACAGGCCTCATGACCTTTACAGCCAACGGAAAAGAGATCAACGCCTTCTACCAGGTAAGGAAAGGCTAGACGGTATAGTTTGTGTGTGTGTGTGTATTTGTATTTCGGATGAGTTATTTTGCACTGTGGAACTGTAAAGCCAGAGATGTTTTGTTTCAGGTGGAGCCCAACACCAAGCTGTTCCCTGCCGTCTTCGTTCAGCCCTCCAATCAGAACATGGTGCAGCTGGAGCTGGGCAAACTCAAGGTACGGCACTACTTTTGCTCACACACTACCAAAACATGGGAGTCATCTTTTTTTCTCTTCCGATCCAGCTGACGAGTCTCTGCTAACCAGAAATTATAGTTTGAACCTACATCTAAAAAGCCCCATTCTTTTATTTCTTGCATTTGTTTAGTTGGAGCGTTTTCTCGCTTTCTTCCTTTTTAAAGTCTCACTGTTTTTTCTCTCTCTATGATCATCTATACCTCCTACCCTCTTGCTCTTTCTCCCTTTCAGAACATCATGCCCATCTCAGCCGCCATGTTCCACAGCGAGCGTAACAACCCGGTCCCCCAGTGCCCTCCCAGGCTGGATGTCCAGATGCTGACCCCGGTTATCTGGAGTCGTATGCCCAATCACTTCCTCAACCCGGAGGTGGGCAGAGTGAGCGAGAGGTTGGGCTGGATGGTGGAGTGTACTGAGCCTCTCATCATGATGGCTCTGCACATCCCAGAGGAGAACAGGTCAGAGATGGTAGCCCTGGCAGCGGGTTAGTTATAAGGGGGGAAATTAGCAGGTTATTATATTTTCTTTCTCAGGGTTTTGATGATTGCTCACCATGATCAGTTTTGATCCTTGAGTCTGTCCTTGTCTCTCAGGTGTATTGACATCCTGGAGCTGTCGGAGCGTCAGGATCTGATGAAGTTCCACTACCACACCCTCATGCTCTACTGCGCCGTGTGTGCACTCGGCAACAACCGAGTGGCCCACGCGCTGTGTAGCCACGTGGATGAGTCCCAGCTCTTCTACTCCACCGAGAACACCTACCTGCCCGGACCCCTCCGCAGCGGCTACTACGACCTGCTCATCAGCATCCACCTGGAGTCGGCCAAGCGGGCACGCCTGGGCACCAACAGGGAATTTATCGTCCCCATGTCTGCAGAGACGCTCAGCATCCACCTCTATCCTGATGCGAAGAAGGCCCATTCTCTCCCCGGTGTCGGCCTAACCACCTGCTTACGGCCCAAGCTGCATTTCTCGTCCATCAACTTCGTCGGCATGGACCCTAACTTGTACACCATGAGTCCTGTTTTCCCCCTGCAGGTAAGAGACAAGAGACGGGTTGCGTTGGAAAAATGTAATGAAACTTTAGTTGCATTTTGCTGATATTCTTATCATTGCCCCTTTAGGAGCTGAAGACCAGGGCGATTAGCATGTTAACAGAGGCCGTGCTGGATGGGAGCCAGGCCATGCGGGATCCAGTAGGAGGCAGCGTGGAGTTCCACTTCGTCCCAATCCTGAAGCTGATCAGTACGCTGCTCATGATGGGAATCTTCAACGATGAGGACACGAAGCACATCCTCAAGATGATCGATCCAAATGTGTTCAGTGGAAAGGAGGTGGAGGAGGAGGAGGGAGAGAAAGCTGAGGAGGGTGGAGCTGCCGATGAAGCAAAGGAAGAGGAGGACGCTGAGGCCGACCTCGAGGATGAAGGGGTCGGTGACGAGGAAGAGGAGCTGAAAGATTTAGGAGGAGAGTATAAGGAGGCGGATGCTGAGTCTAAGGAGGAAGGAGAGGTGGAGGAGAAGGAGGAGGGAGAAGCCAAAGGAGTAAAGGTGGATGTAGAGAAGGCAGAGGAGGAGAAGGAGATCGAGGCAGTGGAGGCAGAAGTGAAAGAAGAAGAGGAGGGTCTGGAGGAAGGATTGCTCCAGATGAAGCTACCGGAGTCTGTCAAACTGCAGGTCATTATATTTTATATTCAAACACTGCTATTCATCTGTATGCATCTGCACAGTATTCACATCCTTACAATATCTGTTAAATTTGTACGTATTCTACATCTTAAACTCTTCGTCCCATCTCCTCTACCTCTCTCAGATGTGCACACTGCTGCAGTACTTCTGTGACTGCGAGCTGCGACACAGAGTGGAGGGCATCGTGGCCTACTCCGACCAGTTCGTCAACGACATTCAGAAGAACCAACGCGTTCGCTACAGCCTGTTAATGAGAGCCTTCACCATGTCGGCTGCTGAGACTGCACGCAAGACCCGCGAGTTCCGTTCACCACCACAGGACCAGGTACCGATGAACCAGAGTTATTAACGTTCTGTATTTTAACCCTAAGAAACCTTTGGAAATGTATGAAATGAAATGCCTCATTCAAAACGAGAAGGGGCTAAATATGCTGATGGGGTTATCTTACTGTGTTCCTCTTCAAGGTTCTCTTGCTGACCAACTTTAAGCACAGTCCAGAGGATGAGAACAGTCCAGTGCCCGAGGAGGTGCGGGACACTCTGGCAGAGTTCCACAATGACCTCCTTCTTCACTGCGGTGAGAAGTCCTTTAAAGAGCCTGCGTGTTTTTTTGTTTTTTTTACTCTGCAGGTGTGGATGACTTTTCATATTTAAGTGTGTTGGGCCTTTAGTGCTGAATTCCCATTTCACTCTCAGGCATACATATTGAGGAGGAGACGGAGGAAGAGGAGGTGGACTCCTCGCTGAGGAGTATGCTCGTCAGTCTGGTCGATAAGATCAGGAGCTTGCGCAAGAAGAAGGAGGAGGAGGAAAAGCCGGAGGTCGAGGAGGAAGCAAAGCCCAGTAAGAGGAGCAGCCGAATGATATTTGACGGACTTGATTAATTGGCAACTTCAATCCCAAAATATTATCAAAATCAGCCTTTTATTAATCCATAACAATCCAACAGATGATATTACATAACAAACACCCTGCACCTGTTTGTGTCCACTCCAATAAGGCTCCCTTCAGGAACTGATCTCCCACACCATGATCCACTGGGCCCAGGAGTCGTTCATTCAGAACCCCGAGCTGGTGCGCTTGATGTTCAGCCTGCTCCACCGGCAGTACGACGGCCTCGGCGAGCTGATCCGAGCGCTGCCCAAAGCCTACGCCATCAATGCCGTGTCCGTTCAGGACACCATGGACCTACTCGAGTGCTTGGGGCAGATCCGGTCGCTGCTCATTGTCCAGATGGGCCCGGAGGAGGAGCGGCTCATGATCCAGAGCATCGGGTCAGTATGAGCTCATGCGTCAGTAGTTGTGATCAAGATGGCACATGTGATATGGATATCATTGTTCTGATATCCTATTTCATAACATTTATAATATATTTACCTCCAGATACGCAATCATTTTGAACATAACATTACCATGATGATCCAATATTGAAAATATTTTTTGGTGCCTACCAAAATCATTCAAACAAGGGTGATTTCTCTAGATTCTATAAAGGCCTTATGACAAAATGACCCGACACTGCAGAATATGTTATAGCAAAATGTGAAAGAGAAGGTAACCTCTTAATGTCAAATGAGGACTGATTGGATGCGTGTACGTCAGTGGAAATGCACCAACTCTCACATGTGGGGGGAATTTGGGTGGAAGTGTGATATTCGTTTCTTTATTACTCCGAAGCAGAAAGCACATTTTGCTGGAGGCGATGCCACATGCTGGAGACGGTGTGGGGCTCGGGAAGCTAATCACTAGCATATATTTTGGGAGTTTCCAGTGATAAAACCTTTCTGGGCAGAGTTTTACAAAGCATTAAAAAGCATACCTAACTGACCTGCCTGCTGTCATTTTCTACATTATCTTTAGGAAATATAGATTTTCAAGCAAGGCGTCCAGATGAATACATGTTTGGCATTTTAATAACCGCTTGTAAAAAAGCGCTCACAGGGCGCTGGCTGCTTCCTGAACCCCTCCACGATACAGGAGTGGATAGATATAGTAAATGACATCTATGTTATGGAAAGGATTACCTTTTCTATTCGTCTTCAGAAAAGTATGTTTATTCAAATTTGGAACAAGTGGTTCAGATATGTAAATGACCCTGTGACGTTGTTTCAGCTCAGCGAACCTCATCGACTTCTATTCCAATCTCTAAGTCCCCCCCCACCCCCCTGACTGATTTTTTCATTGCTTATGCGTGCACACTCTACCATTCCCATAATGTACAAAGTTACCCAATTTTGAAAAATTGTGGACGACAGAAGAAAGAATATTTACTCCTGGGCTGATATTTAGTGATCTAAGCTACTGCCCCAAAATAAAGACTTTCAACAACAAAAAGAAGCTCCAGGCACATCCCGCCCTAAAATCTCAATCTGCAATTATTTTCCAATGTTTCATCAGAATTTAACCAGAAAATATTTTGTTGTTATTCTTTCAGGAACATCATGAACAACAAGGTGTTCTACCAACACCCCAATCTGATGAGAGCTCTTGGTATGCATGAGACTGTCATGGAAGTGATGGTCAATGTGCTGGGTGGAGGAGGAGACTCAAAGGTAACGGAGATGATTTTCAGTCTTAGTTTATCTTCTTACTCAGTCTAACCGGTATAATTGTCCTGTTGGACATTTGAATTAACTACAGACTGACCTGATCTTTGCACCACTCCTCTCCAGGAGATTCGATTCCCCCAAATGGTGACCAACTGCTGTCGTTTCCTGTGCTACTTCTGTCGCATCAGCCGACAGAACCAGCGCTCCATGTTTGACCATCTGAGCTACCTGCTGCAGAACAGCGGCATCGGCTTGGGTCAGTACCCGCTATTACACTGTTGACTGTACTGTACATAGAGCAACCTCTTCCAGATTTTATTTAGAAATATGGATTCATTGGTTGTTGATTATTTGAAAACTATGTAAAAAAAAAAAAAAAAGAAGTAAAGAATAGATTCTAAGCTTTTTTCATAATCAGCGGCCCTGTGACAGTTTCCCCTGACAGTAGAAAACATATAGAACAAGATAGAATGACTAGCCTGTATCTTAAGCAAAGAACAAACAAATGCAGTCTTCCTTGTTTTACATTTGCAGGCATGCGTGGGTCCACACCTCTGGATGTGGCTGCGGCTTCTTGCATTGACAACAATGAGCTGGCCTTGGCTCTACAAGAGCAGGACCTGGAAATGGTATGAGAAAAATTAAAAAAGACGACAAGAAAGAAACGCACGAATGGCCTTGTTAGCTCACCGTCTCTCTCTGTGTCTCCTCACATGCGTGGTGATGCAGGTGGTGACATACCTGGCGGGCTGCGGCCTGCAGATGTGTCCAATGCTCCTCTCGAAGGGCTACCCTGACATCGGCTGGAACCCCTGTGGAGGAGAGAGATACCTGGACTTCCTCCGCTTTGCTGTCTTTGTTAACGGTCAGCAACCCTCCATGTACCGATTGCATTTGTTGCTTTGAGTTGACTGTAACCGTCACTGACATTCGCACGCCCTTCACAGGAGAGAGCGTGGAGGAGAACGCCAACGTCGTGGTGCGTCTGCTCATCCGGCGGCCCGAGTGCTTCGGCCCGGCCCTGAGAGGTGAGGGCGGGAATGGTCTGCTGGCTGCCATGGAGGAGGCCATCAAGATCTCAGAGGACCCGGCGAGGGACGGACCCACTGTCAAAAAAGACAGACGCTTCATGTAAGTGTCGGCACAAGGTTAACCACCAAGAGAACATTTTTTTAACCCTTTACACAGTGAAGCGCTGGAGTAAAAAGAAAACACCTCTTTTATGTCACATTTTTTTTAGTTTTTTTTAGTTAGTCACCGGTTAATGAGTGTCAGGCTAACAAATACAAAATCAACCAAACATCCCTTGTTGGCGCAGTAGATGTGATACAGGCTGCACTGTTTGACTCAACAAATAACAATTTAGATGAATGATTTAATGGACATTATTATAAAGCTATGCGATCATGTTCTCTTGATTGGCAGGTTCGGTGGTGAGGAACAGCAGGAGGAGAACCGTGTCCATCTGGGAAATGCCATCATGTCCTTCTACTCGGCCCTCATCGATCTGCTGGGTCGCTGCGCCCCCGAGATGCATGTGAGTAGAACGGCTTTTCACAATATTGATTTCTCTTGAGCCTCCAAGGCGATTCGGCTCAGAGCGGCGGTTGGTCTCACACAGTGTGTCGTAAATGTTCACGTCTACAGCTGATCCAAGCAGGCAAAGGTGAAGCTCTCAGAATCAGGGCCATCCTGAGGTCTCTGGTGCCCATAGAGGATCTGGTGGGAGTCATCAGCTTATCTGTCCAGATTCCTGCCTTTGGGAAAGGTAAGACACTGGAGTCATGTATGGACGCGCTGTGCAAGTGTGCACTATTTGGGCACATTTAGTTATTCTCCTGCATCTGATTTCTTCTGTCCAAAGCCGCAGACGGGCAGATCATTGAGCCTAAGATGTCCGCCAGTTTTGTGCCGGACCACAAGGCCTCCATGGTGCTGTTCCTTGACAGAGTGTACGGTATCGAGAACCAGGACTTCATGCTTCATGTGCTGGAGGTTGGCTTCCTGCCTGACATGAGAGCTGCAGCCTCTCTGGACACGGTGACTATGAAAAGACACAGCGATACAGCAAAGAGATGTCACTTACTACTCCATCCGTCTCCAAAGTATTACACAGGGTACAAATGGTTTTTCTGTCTACCTCTGTGATTCCAGGTGTCATTCAGTACGACTGAAATGGCCCTGGCCCTGAACCGCTACCTCTGTTCGGCCGTGTTGCCTCTGCTCACCAAGTGCGCCCCGTTGTTTGCTGGGACGGACCACCGGGCCATCATGATCGACTCCATGCTCCACACCATCTATCGCCTGTCCCGCGGCCGAGCCCTCACCAAGGCTCAGAGGGACGTCATCGAGGAGTGCCTCATGTCGCTCTGCAAGTCAGTACCAATCCCCACCCAACCCATAGTTAGGGTTGGGTACAGAATTCAACTAAACTTTACAACTAAAACTACGTTTTCGGTATTACAGAGAGAGTAAAGTACCTTAGCACCACTGGGTAGGCGTCCCGAATTCCAGATATTGGTTCAAATGTGATCGGTACCCAACTCTTTTAACAATAAAAATATTTAATTCTAAACATATTTCGCAACAATATAGAACCCACGAAAGAAACAACATCCATTTCCAAACAGCTCGATTCCTCATGAAGCATTTCGATGACGTTCACAGGTACCTTCGACCCTCCATGCTGCAGCATCTGCTTCGACGGCTGGTATTTGATGTGCCCATCCTCAACGAATATGCAAAGATGCCTCTCAAGGTTGGCCTGCCATTTAATTCTATTGTATTTGCTTCATTTCATTTTATAACAATGAAAACTTATATAATTAGAACTTTTGTAGAAACAAAAAGAAATGCTACATATATACACCCAATTTGTGTTTAACAAACAATCAATTCAAACACAATAATGTATGCATTACATCACAGTGATTATTGCAGTTTCTTGTTCAGTTGTTACATACAGTAATTACCAGTAAATAGCTTTCTTGGGAATACCATGTATTAAAGATATATTTTATTTCGATCTGTAATTTAATTGTTTCAGCTGTTGACCAATCACTATGAGCGCTGCTGGAAGTACTACTGCTTGCCTAATGGATGGGCTAATTTCGGGGTGACTTCAGAGGAGGAGCTGCATCTGTCTCGTAAACTCTTTTGGGGAATCTTTGAGTCTCTGGCGCACAAGGTGAGAGAGGAATCTCTTGGTGTCCACGCACAGTGGTCAAACCAGTGTGATCGCACAGGTTGAAAGCTTGTGTCATTATCAACGTGACGTCTCTGCTGTCATCCTGAAATTCCAGAAATACGACGCAGAGCTCTTCAAGATCGCCATGCCCTGCCTCTGCGCTATAGCAGGAGCCATCCCGCCTGACTACGTGGATGCCACCTACTCCTCTCACGTGGAGAAGAAGGCCTCTGTGGATGCTGAAGGCAACTTCGACCCCAAACCAGTGGAGACCACCAAGTGAGCAGAGAAATGCAAGACAGTACACAAATAGTTCACACAAGTTCCAATACTTATCGTTCTTTAAAGGAATACTTTACACAGTGATTTGTATAATCAAATATTCACCGCAGGTTAACTTGAAGAAAAACTTTTTTTGTGCAATTTGATGTGATTTCTCACGCCTTGAGTGTACGCCTCATTTTCAAAATAAAAAATAAAAAGAAGTTAACTGTGAGGAAGACAGCTGAGGTGACGTGACCTAAGCACGAACAGGGAATTACATACGTAATCCACAAGTTTAATAGTGGCTGGTGTTCATGACCTCACACTAAATATGAATATAACTTATTCACAGCACCATCATCCCAGAGAGGCTGGATGCCTTCATCAACAAGTTTGCAGATCACACTCATGACAGATGGGCCTTTGAGAAGGTCAGTTACCAAACATGTAAATCAGCAGACATGGAAGTGCCCGTTTGTCTTTTTGAAATCGTTTTGCACTTTGTATTAATTATTTCAATGGTTAAATCTATTTTCAGATTCAGAACAACTGGACCTACGGAGAGGCGTTGGATGAGAACGCTAAGTCTCACCCAATGCTGCGGCCGTACAAAACCTTCTCTGAAAAGGTAATGATTCTTCTGTCTTGTCTGAATCCTGATCGTCTGCACACGGGTACTGAACTTTAGCCAAGCAGGATTAAACAAGTATTCCTGAGCCATGAACGTCTCATCTCTGATTCACCACATTCTGAATACAGTGTGTTGTTGACAGGCTCACTGTTCATTTCCAAATCCTCTTCTCTCTGTTTCTCAGGACAAGGAGATTTATCGTTGGCCCATCAAAGAATCCGTCAAAGCCATGCTGGCCTGGGAGTGGACCTTGGATAAAGCCAGGGACGGGGAGGGAGAAGTGGAGAAGAAGGCCGCCACACGCAAGATCTCCCAAACTGCTCAGGTAAAAGAGGGAGGAGTGAAAACACCACTAGGTATTAGAATACGTTGTTCCTGAAGGGAAATGAATTGACTTTTAGATGGATTTTTGTTCCGTACTTATTGTTCCCTTTTTGGAATCATAAGTGGTAAGTGGCTCTGGAAAGCCACATTTTCTTTGTGTAGCCTGTCCTCTTTCCATAGCGGTGAGGAGGTTGCGTGACTCCATCTGTTTGGTGACACCAGGAAGCTGCTTAACATCCTCCTGTATTATCTTTTCATACATTCATACATATTCTGTTATATGTGTCATTTGTCATATGAGTTGCCTATGTTGTATTTGATTATATTACTCTATACACACGACATCTGTTGCACGCCTGTCTTTCCTGTGGGAGGGCTCCCTTCTCAATTGCGCTTCCTGAGGTTTCCTCCATTGTTTTCTTTCCCTGTTTAAGGTTTTTTTGGGGAGTTTTTCCTTATCTGCTCTGAGGGTCTTAGGACAGAACGTGTCTAATGTACCGACTGTAAAGCCCCTGAAGCAAATTTGTGATTTGTGACATTGGACTATATAAATAAAATTGACTTGAATATTGTGATAATGTCAAAACTTGGCTGTCCCTCCAGGTCTAAAAAAGGGGTGAAAATAATCCGACCTATCTGTTGACCCATTGAAATCAGTATTCTTAAACCTTCTGCACTTGTGCATACTTAAATGGGGGAAACAATGGTGAAATGAAAGCAGTTATCTTTTTGTGGGAACCTCCTGGAGTCCTCTAGAGGTCCCTAAACCTCACACGGAGAACCACATCTCTGTATGATGTGTTTTCTGTCTTCAGGCCACTTATGATCCCAGTCATGGCTACAACCCTCAGCCAATTGATATCGCAGGAATGGCCCTGTCCAGAGAGCTACAGGTGCGTATCTTTCTGTCACAGCACAGGTAACTGTAGGTCTCATAGTTTGGTTGGACTGTCAGGAGCCTGACTATATAATGTTGTCACCCTCACCGTGCAGTCTATGGCCGAGCAGCTGGCTGAGAACTACCACAACACCTGGGGCAGGAAGAAGAAGCTGGAGATACAGTCCAAAGGTAAGAGGGGTTTTCTATGACACATCATAATCTGAGGAGTTTGTTTTTAGTGATCATTGCTAGTTTGCAGTCTGTTGAGTCCATAAATGACCTCTGTTAGGTGGTGGCACCCATCCTCTGCTCGTGCCGTATGACACCCTGACGGCTAAGGAGAAGGCCAGGGACAGGGAGAAGGCCCAGGACCTGCTCAAGTTCCTGCAGCTCAATGGATATGCTGTGACAAGGTAAGCAGGATGTTCTCACCAGTTCATTGAAGATTAGAGCATAGATGGATAGAACATAGAACGGTTTCCTCTGATAGCAGGGTCCTCCCTGTTGTGCAGGAACACATAAAGAGATTTTTCATGCGTTTTGCATTACATAGGAACAATCTATGGCGCTCAAATAATAATTACTGTTACTGGTTTGTATTGGTCTGTAGACCTGATAGGGTGAAACAGTTTGAGCTGAGTTAGCCTTAGCTCTGTGAGTGATCTAGATTTAGCGAGCTAGCCATCTAAACATAAACAGAACTTTTATAACTAGGCCTATATCAGATATAACTTTCTTCATAATTTAGCCGAACAGGATGGAAATTATTGAGTGTGACAAACAGATTAACCCCATGAAACATGTATGCTCACCCAACTTTACACCTTTGAGATCCCTCCCAAGTGTCGTCGTCTTTTCTTTTTTTTTTTTTGAACGTGAGAAACGACTAACAACGATGAGATTACTTCAGAGACACACAGTAAATGAAATAAAATGGTAAAAACAAGCGAACAGCAGCTGTAATTTAAGACATTTTATTATAAATATTTGACACGTTTTAAAGAAAATGTAACGTATTAATTCACGGGGACAGAAATGTTGCTGCGTAACAGGAACGACCCAGTTCTGTCCATGTGTCCCCCTCTCTCTATATTTCATTGTTCCTCTCTCTTCAGGGGACTGAAGGACATGGAGCAGGACATTTCCTCCATTGAGAAGCGTTTCGCCTACGGCTTCCTCCAGAAGCTCCTTAAATGGATGGACATCGCCCAGGAGTTCATTGCTCATCTCGGTACTGTGCTTTGAGAGACTTCTAACTTTTAACTGCGCACCGTTTAATCAACATGCACCTTTTGAGGGCTGTCTTGATTTTAATTCCGTTTTTTTTGAACAGAGGCCGTGGTCAGCAGTGGTAGAGTGGAGAAGTCGCCACATGAACAAGAGATCAAATTTTTTGCCAAGGTGAGCCGTTTGATGCTGCATAGAAACTGTACAGAAGCTAACCTGTGTCGGGATCCAGTCTTGGTGAAATACATGTAATTGTTGCCAGAAATGTTGGTTTGTAGTCGCCATCCTGTTCATGAACACAGAAACATGGAGCCTGTTTAATGGCATGATGATGCGTTTCTTCGGTAGTTATTTTCTGCAGTTCATATTTCATCTGGTTATTTTTTATAGATCCTCCTGCCGCTGGTCAATCAATATTTCAAAAACCACTGCCTGTACTTCCTCTCCACTCCCGCTAAAGTCTTGGGTAGTGGAGGGCATTCCTCCAACAAGGAGAAGGAGATGATTGCAAGGTATGTGAAAAAAAAGCAAAGACTGGTATGTTGTCTGAATGATCTGTTCTAGCTTTCCTCTAGTACAGTACTGTGACCGTGTCGGCCCTCTTCCCTGTCTCCATCTCTCTCCTATTGTGCAATATCCAGTTAAAAATCCTTGACCTCCCTTTTGCTTTCTGTGTCACTTCAAACGTCTTTCCTGCCCTGTTTCCCTCTACCGTTCTCCCTCCTTCTCCTCCGACCTCAGTATCTTCTGTAAGTTGGGGGCTTTGGTGAGGCACAGAGTTTCTCTTTTTGGTAAGGAACCTGCATGGTGGCGTTACGCCCTCTCACCATCTCTGTCCCTCTGTTTCTGAATTGTTTTTCACTTCCTCTTCCTTCCTACCGTCCCATTTATATATGTCATGATGTTATTCCGTACATTGTATCACACACTCTGTCCTCCCCACTCTCTCATCCCTCCCTTACTGCTTACTGGATCTACTCGTCTGCTCTGTCTTAAGCTCAACTTCTGCTTGGCTTTGATTTTTTTTTTGTTTTCCTACAACCAGATTCATGAAACTCTACGTAGATTCACAACTAAAACTCTGTGTATACACAAAAGCAGAAATATGAATATGCATTCTATTCGTCAGATTTATGAAGCCACTCATAAGCCTGATTGTGTTTTATAAATCTCAATCGTTGTGGGACTGAACTCACGTGCACAAGCCTCACTGGTTCTCATACGAGTAGCCATAAATGGATGGAGTAATTCTTGAGCCTGCTCCACCAGTTATTACATCCGTCAATGAGAAGAACGGCAAAGTAGTGCAAGTCAAGGTTCTCCAGTTACCTGCGACCTTTACACACGGCTATGACTATTTATAGCGCAAATACCTTACATTTATCACATGTATCTGAAAACAATCATCGTGGTGATACGTCAGTCTTCATTATTAAACACCTCACAGGTGATCAATGACTAATTCATTGAGCTCATCTTGAAATCAACTTTACAAAGAGCTTCATGATTCAGGACAAAGCTAAAGGATCATTAACTGAGATGATGGCTTGGATGCCTCAGATTGACATTTTACAGAATGCTGTGTAGATCGCAAAAATTATAAAACATCAGTAAAACTGTAAAATAACCTACAAAATGTTTCACTATAAGGAGACATCATCTTATATTTCATGTCCAGCTTATCATTTCACCAGCAGTGAGGCACATTCTCACCGCACTTTCTTCTTTTATAAATTCCAAGTGCCGTATGCATGCTTTTTGTGCGTACGCATCGTTCACACATCTGGGCCCAGGTGTTTATACAGTTGTACTTTTCAGTGTTGTATTACTCGATTGGTCTCAAGACCTCTTTTTGAAAGTCTCTGCTCAGAATGGACTGCATTGCTTGTTTATTTCAAGACCGCAACTGCAGGGATATGACAAAGAACTGCCTGAGCATTGTGTGATTTATAAGTTAACATCATTACTGTGATTGCTCATAGAAAACAAAGGAACATTCCCACATATAGAATTCACCTCTGCAATGCCTTTTAATTATTTTATCAAGACATTTCTTATGGTACTCTCATACATGCACACATAGACCGTACATGTGGCATTAAAAGAGATGAATGAAGAGGGATCTTCATGTGTTTTCTGTGCGTGTTTTCATGGAAATGTGGATCTTTCAGATAAATCTGGTTTGCCTATTCAACATTTTATCTTATGTGAGGCAGTATGTGTTTTAACCTCATTCTCCATCTTCACCACCATGCGTCTCCAATAGTCACTACTCTTATGTAACCAGCGGTCACTAGACACTGGCAACTACATGATAGTCAATGCAGAACTGCAGACGAACTGTAAAGTTTTAAATGGAGCGCATAGCACACTATAGCAATGTAGGATTCAACTGTTTCATAATTACGTGTTTAAGTTGTCTCAGTTGTGTAATGAGTCAAAATTAATGTTTTTAATGTAATTTTGAGTTTGGTCATTGTTTTTTAACACGCACTACTGTAACTGTTTGTGCTTTCTGTTTTTAGTGGAGTGCTTAACTCTTAAGACTATGAATAAATCTTTCCTTTACAATAAATTGAGCTCTATTATAAAGTGGACGTCTCTGACAACACATCTTTGCGCTGTTGTTTTCAGGAACAGATGCAGGCGCAGTGGTAAACTGCCTGCACATCCTCTCACGATCGCTGGATGCCAGGTAACTCACAATCTATCCATAACACAAACCCCAGGCAGAAAGAAAATGGAAACAAAACATCCGAGATGATGATATTTTGTGTCCTCATCTTTAAGGACCGTTATGAAATCGGGCCCTGAGATTGTCAAGGCCGTCCTGCGCCAGTTCTTTGAGAGCGCTGCCGATGACATTGAGAAGATGGTTGAGAATCTGAAACTGGGCAAAGTGTCCAGTCGGAACCAGGTGAGAGATGGCTCCCAACCGCTTTGTTTTTGTACATGTTCATCTTCCCTTTGAGCGGATATGTGTATATGTGTCTGTGTTCCTGTAGGTTAAGGGTGTGTCCCAGAACATCAACTACACCACCAATGCCCTGCTGCCAGTCCTCACCTCACTGTTCGACCACATCGCTCAGCACCAGTTTGGGGATGACGTCATGTGTGAGTGAAGCGCTCCTCTCCATTGAGTTAACGGGTCATGGCTCGCCCGTTGTGGCTCTTGACTCATAGCTAATGCAATGCCTCTCTGCTCTGCATCCTCAGTGGACGACCTGCAAATATCCTGCTACCGTTTGATGTGCAGTATCTACTCTCTGGGCACAGTGAAGACTCCACATGTAGAGAAGTGAGTAGAGACCTCTGGATCTGTGAAAGTGTCTTTAGCAATTTGCTTTTATATAGGATTTGATTGTCAAGTGAATATCATTTAAATGGCCCAAAATCCACACGCCCTCAATCCTGATTCCCTTCATTCACAGGAAAAACTGCATAAAGATCATTAAACAGGGAAAAAATATCATGCTTTCAAAGATTGATTTTGACATTTCATTAAGATTTTGTGTTATTTTTCTCTTCTGCAGACAGCGACCAGCTCTTGGCGAGTGTCTGGCCCACTTAGCAGCTGCTATGCCGGTGGCCTTCCTTGAGCCATCGCTGAATGAGTTCAACATGTTTTCTGTTTATACCACCAAGACTCCCAGAGAGAGAACTAGTGAGTTTTCGCCTTGTTTTCCTCCTCAGCACAACATTACCCTAGAGTTGGGTTGATAATAAATTGTTTCCCTACCTTTTATTTCGTCCGTCTACTCTCTCCGTCTTCAGTTCTGGGTCTTCCCAACCAAGTGGAGGAGCTGTGCACGGATATCCCAGAGCTGGAGGTCCTGATGAAGGAGATCCATGACTTGGCTGAGTCCGGGGCTCGCTACACAGAAATGCCCCACGTGATTGAGATCACCCTGCCCATGCTGTGTAACTACCTCCCACGCTGGTGGGAGAGGGGCCTGGAGAACTTCCCCGAGATGGAGGGCCAGCTGTGCACCTCCATCACCTCCGAGCAGCTGAACCAGCTGCTGGGCAGCATCATGAAGATTGTGGTTAACAACCTGGGTATAGACGAGGCCTCCTGGATGAAGAGATTGGCAGGTCAGTGGGAGGAAGATTCTCAATGCGATGCGAGACATCTTCTTTTTCACATGTTGTTCATCTCCTATTTGGAGAAGACCATGCAGACTCTTACTGCTGTTTCCTGTGCGCCCCTTGTCCAGTGTTTGCCCAGCCCATCGTCAGCAGGGCTAAACCAGAGATGCTTAAATCCCACTTCATCCCCACCATGGAAAAACTGAAGAAGCGCACAGGTAAGGTGGTGGCGGAGGAGGATCAGCTGCGGATGGAGGGCAAGATAGAGGTGGACAGCGAAAACGGGACCATCAGAGACGAGTTCGCCGTGCTGTGTCGGGACCTGTATGCTCTCTACCCTTTGCTCATCCGCTACGTGGACAATAACAGGTAGCTGAACTCACGAGGACACGATAAATGTGTAAAACGCATTATTGCTGTATATCGTTCGTATCACAGTTTGAGATTTAGTTGACACTTTTGTCCTGAGTGACTCACAATCAATGAGCATTGTTTTTCTTTAAGAGTACTATTACTGTGTTCAATTTGGAGACTAAAGCACGTCTTTGACTGAAAAAGATGTTATGGGCATGTTTAAGTACAATATACGAAAAGGGAAAACTTTCAGTATTTGCAGTTGGTGGTGCTTGTGGTTCCCTAAAGCAAGTTTAAAGATACCGTGGAAACTGCTTATCGAAATCATGTCTGCAACTCTAAGAGGATCAATATTATATTTCAACTCCTATCTGTGAAAAGGACATATCTCTTAAGCAGGACTTGCAGACTTTGATTCGAGTGCTTGAATGTATCCATTGCTGTCTCTGCCTGCAGGGCAAGGTGGTTGACCTGTCCCGACCCAGATGCTGAGGAGCTTTTCAGGATGGTGGGAGAGGTCTTCATTTTCTGGTCCAAATCCCACGTGAGTCTCTCTGTTTTCTGTGGTCTTTTTCTTCTTCTTTCTATTTGGTGAATTGTGTCCGTCCTTTGCCGTCTACCACCTTTCTTTGTGTTATTCATTACAGAACTTTAAGAGGGAGGAGCAGAACTTTGTAGTGATGAATGAGATCAACAACATGTCCTTCCTGACTGCTGACAGTAAGAGCAAGATGAGCAAGGTGAGAGCGGACATGCAGACAAAATGGCCAAGAAGAACATAGCCTTTTACTCAATAAGATGTTTTATTCACTCATTCCATATCTTGGGCTGTAACACAAACTCTAATAATTAATATTTCACTAACACCACCCATTCCAAGCGGGTAAGACTTTAAATGAAACCCCTCTTAACCATTCTCAGCTGTTATTTCCTTTCTTTCCTTAAATGGATGAGAACGTCAGGTAAATAATAATCCTTTTCTAGAATTGTTAGAGTACTCTGCCTTTACATAACTAATACCTCTTCCTCTTCCAGGACCATGTAAGTGGCAGTACATAGTGTTCAGGCACTAGCAGGAGTGTTGCTAACTGTGTTTTCTCCTTATATCCTGTGTCGGGGTTGGACGCTGGGCCTCTAGGCCGGAGATGGAGAGGTTAGACTGTGTTTGTGCACGAGCGCTGTGCTGATCGCATGGCACCCTAGAGTTTTGGGAGGCATTTCATCAAGCGCTCCCATGGAACCTCCACACTTCTTAAAACACAGACCCCAATATTCACACACATACTGTACATAGAGGCACACAGGGTTATAAACACTATCAGTGGAAGACTCACAACAATAGTAATAGCAATGTTCCAATAATGCGGATCAATGGGTGGTATAATAATGTTTAAATGTAGATTTAGTTGAAACTGCTTCTGTAATGAATGTTTTCTGTGAGTGGGACATATTTGAGTGATGTTGAGCATGACTGGGCGTGTATTAGCGACATGAGCGTGTGTTCTTATCTTTGTGTATATGTGTGCGTAGGGGTCTGGAGCGGCTTGATGAAAGCTCTTTGCCGTAGATCGTAGTGGCCTGAGAGGTTTCATGGCGCTCGGCTGAGCTGCTGCGTATGTCTTTTTTTGGAGCGTGCACTCCTGCAGCTGAGCGCCATCACCCCCTACCTGTCTGTTGATTAATAAACAGTTTGCCTTCAGATCGTCCCCGTTGGACACAGTTGTGGAGCCCACGCTACTGTGCCATCTGTGATGTTGAGATGTTGTTATTGACGCTTGGATTTCTTTCAGCTTCTTGTGGTAAAGATTCCTGCGCAGGGGGACTCTTCTCTTTTGAATATTATCATCGGCTTCGTCTTCACTACCTGTTTACACCCCAAAAAAAACTACCATTCTTCACTGTCACCATTCGCTTGATCCATCAGCAGCGTATGTCGGGGAGGGGAAACTGAAGCTAGTTCGACATCACCAGTCATTTACTAACTGGACTCGCCCCTCCATATCTAATTCATTGACACCATTAAAAAGTTAAATCGTTGAGTCTCTAATGTTTTTCTTTTTGTGGTTGCTGTAAGATGAATATGAAAAACCTCCTCTCCTGGGCTATCAGATGGGCATTACTGTGGTAAGCTTCTGTTGCCTGATCATCACAACGCCTCTCTCTGGCCAAAGAGCAGTGTGGACCCACAGAGGCACACTGCGCTGAGGGCAGAGGGGTTGCTGTAAAGGCCAGACAACAGTTGGTAATGAGCACTGGCCGCCTCAGGACAGGAGCGTGTGAGAAGAGCTCCAGGCCCCCCCCCCCCATAGACTTGTGCTATTCTGCGTGCTGTCCATTGGACAGGATGTGCCCTGTCTGGCCACTGCACTACTAACAGTGAGGCTGCTTTGTGTGTATCGACTGCAGCTGATGCAGCAGTGAAGCACCTGAAGCGCCACCACAAGTTGATATTCATGAGAAAATGTGTTGTTCAATTTCAGCACATGAATAATTACTTTCACTTGTCGATTCACTTCATCAGCATGTTGTGCGTAAAATGTTACTCGACAGTTGGTTCTTGGCTTCTCATTGTGTCAATTTTCTGTTGTGTTTTGTGTTAGAAGTAGTCTTATGTCGTTTTTTTTTTTGTCTAATATTTGTCTAAAATTGTGTAACTATCACAAAAATATATTCTGAAAAGGAAATATTTGAGGTGTGAGGCGCAGGGGCTTGTAAGTGGAACAGTGATGGATCGGTCTGAACTTTTCTTTCTGTCTGTAGTCTGGAGGCTCAGAGCAGGAGCGTACCAAGAAGAAGCGGCGGGGGGATCGCTACTCTGTGCAGACCTCCCTTATCGTTGCAGCGTTAAAAAAGATGCTTCCTATCGGACTCAACATGTGCTCTCCGGCAGACCAGGAGCTCATCAACCTCGCCAAGCTCAGATACTCACTGGTACTTTGAAGTGTTCGAAGTCAACTTTATGAACAAATACATTCTGAGTGTCGCCTGAATCTCGGCCTCTTTCCTTGTAGAAAGACACAGATGAAGAGGTGAGGGAGTTCTTGAACAACAATCTGCATCTGCAAGGCAAGGTGAGTAGACCTTTTAATTATTTCACATATTGAAGATGATAGTAGATATTAAAAATGTAAAAATAACCGCAAGCGGCAATTCCGGGGTTCAGGCCAATACAGACACCTGCGAGGGTTTAAACACGCAGCCTACATATTTGCCCTTTGGCTTCAGGTGGAGGACCCCGCTATGCGCTGGCAGATGTCCCTTTATAAGGAGCTGTCTGGAAAGGCTGAGGATGCTGAGGACCCTGAGAAGGTGGTGAAAAGGGTTCAAGAGGTGTCTGCTGTCCTTTACCACATTGAGGTGGTGAGTAAAGGACACAAGCTCAAGTGCTCTGCGAGCAAACACACATGACTGTATACACAGACTGTATACACATTGAATTCATTGTCTTGACAAGCTTTTGCTACAAAAATGAGGATTTGTTGGGTCAACGCTTTTTCTCTCTCTCTAGACGGAGCATCCCTTCAAGTCAAAGAAAATGGTGTGGCACAAGCTGCTGTCCAAACAGCGTCGCAGGGCCGTGGTAGCCTGTTTCAGGATGACGCCCTTGTACAACGTCCCCGCGTAATGATTCCCCTCATACTCAATAACGAAAAAAACACTCAATAAAATAATCTGAAGGCTTTACATGAGACATGAGCTTTACAACCGTCTCCTCTCCTCTCCTCTCACAGGCACAGGGCAACCAACATGTTCTTGGACGCCTACAAACGCAACTGGTTAGAGACTGAAGGTTACTCATTTGAGGACAAGATGATCGACGACTTGTCAGTAAGTCATCCTCCCTTTTAAACACATGAATCATAAGATAAACCTACACATCGTGGGCAATATCTCCTTAATGCCAGTCGTATGTTAACTCCAATAATTAGAAAGCCTTGGAGGAAGAGGAGGAAGAGGAAGAGGAGACCGAGACGAAGCCTGACCCCCTTCATCAGCTGATTCTTCATTTCAGCCGCACAGCTCTCACAGAGAAGAGGTGAGGGCATTTTGCTTCGTCTGCGACTCACCTCTTTAATGACCCGTTCCCTCACTGAGACTTGTTGAGTCCTGTCCTGTGTTTTCTCATTACAGTAAACTCGACGTTGACCATCTCTACATGTCTTATGCTGATATTATGGCAAAGGTAAGACAGTCAGTGAGCAGCATCTTTAAATGGTCTGGATGTGAATAAATAGATAGAAAGAAATACTGAATTACATACAGCTGAAAATAATAGATTGGAATTGTACAACAGAAAGTCTGGTGTTGGTTGTTTGTAGTACATTTGCCTTCAACAACAATTATTTACATTAACCCTGAACATACCTGATATTGGTTTACTTGCCCTCCAGTCACATACATATTTAAGCTTTCACGAGACATGAAAATGAAACATGAATATGGCAATTGGAAGGGATCAAAATGTCAATCATATGTAAATGTGTGATTGCTAAATCTGATGTGGTCTTGCACTTGCTGTCATCTCCCTCCAGAGCTGCCACATTGGTGAGGAGGACGAAGGGGGAGATCAGGAGGGGGAGGAGCCAGCCTTTGAGGTGCGACAGACAGAGATGGTATGGGGGGGACCAAGGGATGGGAGACAGGGGGAGTCAGCGGAGAAGCAACTCCCCATGCACTGAGTGACCACACCTTGAAAACACACTCGGCACACCCCCCCACCACCACAAATCTTCTCTTTTTTATTCTCTCTTCCTGTCTTTTCTCTCGTCCACTCACAACACTTGTCTGTTTCCTGCTATTGTGGACTGACCTGTGCATGCCTTTGCTGGACTCTGCCCACCAGTCGGTTCAATGTTGTGGACTTGAGTTGTTATATTTCCTAAATTGCATGACTTGGGTGCAGAGAGTCGGTGCAGCTAAAGACAACAAAATGAAACGGAGGTCAAAACAAACCAGTGAGTCTTTGCTTGGTGTCATAGTTTCAGAATCACAATTTCCAAACCTGATGTGCTTCTCAATTTGTTTAGGGGTTGATTGAAGTTTACAGCAAATGACCAAATGTCTGTTCTTCATGTCTGTTGTTAACAGATCTAGTAAGGCCACAATTTAGCAGTGCAAAAAAGTATTTTAACTGCACATTTAATATGGACAAATGTGCTCAGCAGCACCTAAAGGTAAATCAACCCCTGACTATGTCTGATAATTTGAATGAGCATCTCAATGATTTCTTTTGCTTCAAAAGCCAGGTTTGGAGACTGATGTTGTAGGTATAGAGATCCATGGCTTTTCCTGGAGGGCAGCACAACACCCATTTGCACTGCAAATCTCTTTCACACCAAATCAGGCGTTGCGGTAAAACTCACATGGTCCACTTAACGCCCGACTTGGTGTGAAAGCAGCCTCAGTGTTATTTTCATCACCACAACATCCTGTCTATTCCTTCATGGAAGCTGATATGTGCTCAGAAATGTGATGTTGTCATCCAAGACAAGCAGCTATTTTTAGAAACCGATAATCTCTGAAGCCACGCAGCAGGTTTCCTAACAGTGGAACCAGCTCTCTTGTGTGTCCATGGTCAGTCTCCCCCAGGCTTGCACCACCCTTTCCTGACTCACACCCTCCTGTACTCACCTGCTAATCGGGCTGCGTTCACCCATATGGACTCGCCTAATAACTTGAAATCTAACCGGCAAAGTAACCGATTTTGTTTGTCTTTATTTTGAATTGGACGATGTTAACAAGTCTCCCTCTCTGTGCTCACCAAGGACTACAGTAAAAGCCTGCACACTCAGCCATACACACACTGTCCCAAAGCCAAGCACCCACTCATGCAATCATACACTGACTCACATGCAGACACACTCACACCCTCAGCCACATTCGATCTCTTCTCACTCATCACAAAGACACATAGTTTGCTCGGAAAAAGATGAGCAGAACCTCTGTAAGTAGAGAAAAGTTCCACTATTTTTAAAAACAGTCAGGCTTAGGAAGGAGGGGGGGCGGAGGGATGGGTAGCTCCCGTTCTGGGTGCTTTGGGTGGAGGCTTTACGCATGGTATGAAGTGGGAGGGTCAAATCTAACCTCTTATGTTGAGAGGATAGTTGTTCGTCTCAGCTGTACTGTTTTATTTGTAACAAAAGGATTAATGTTGTATGATAGGACAGTGCAGTACAGTGGGTGTTGCAGTGAAGTAGCATACAGTACTATGTAGCAGTATTAAAGTAGTATAATATAGTATGACACTGTACAGTTTTCAATTTCAGTCAGGTCTCCATATTATGTACGTTATATTGACAACAGTAAACAATATCTGCAAACGCATTCAATAATATGATTTTATTTTGTATAAAAAAATTGTTTCTTGCTATTTGATATATAAGCTGACGCATTTGGGCCATTTTAGGTTAAAAATAATAATAATAATGAAGGCGGAGGAGGGGGAAGTATTCCGAGAAAAAAACTCACATTTATGAGAAAAAAACCTTAAATATTCTCTGAGATTATAAAAGTGCCTTCATGGGATTTTTTATCCCCATATTTAGACTGTGGAGGAGTGACGTAGAGACGCCGTATACGGCTCTGGTAGCGGTAATGACCTGTCTATCACAAGGTAGCGCCGCCCTAAATAAGACTCCACTTTATGGTCTATTTGACTCTAAATGTGACCCTAATTTGCAAAATGAACATCATGCTGTATTGAAGAAGACTTGAAACTAGAGATTGAGAAAATAAGCTCAACAATATTTACTGAGGTAATAAATCAAGTGAGAAGTAGAGTCATTTCATGCGCATTGGCTTCGCTTTTCAGAACCGGAGGCCTAAAGTAGTGTTATTATGGTAAGGGTAGCCTCTGAGCGAGGCGAAGGTACTGAAAGATACATATATGCATTTTCTTTTATGTTCTGTATTCTGTTATGAACATAAATAGATACTAATATATTATATTTTGCACTCACAGTACCATAGTGTTAAACGGTGGTGTGGTGTGATGAGGTTGATCCAACCTTGCAAATTGAAGGGAAGTGAGGTGGTTTGACAAAAACGTTTTTTTCTTGGAAATGTATGACCTTATAATTTACAAAATATCTGTTTTTTCCCCACTGAATATGACCCTTCTCCTCTGGCTGGTAATCCTAATAAGTCATCCTTTTTATCAAATCAAAACCTCTAATTGATTTATCAAACATATAATGGTTTATCTTAAAATTGCCCAGCCTTGCGAGCGCAAATTTAGAACATTAACTATTGAAATCCCAAATATATTTTTTAAACTATAGGCACTTTATGATACTCCTAGTCAACACTTAGAGTCCCGTGTTTAAACTTAAGGACAGAGAGGAACCACATGATGCTGCTGCAGGTAGCACAACTGAAGGGCTCTGGGTTTGTACTGTTGGATAGCAGGATCTGCATGCTGTGTTGCTCAGACGACTGCTGTTGCTTCCTCGTAAGTATGTGTGAAATGTGTGGTGTGTTGTGGTATGCCCGGGGAAGAAATGTCTGCTGCCATCGACTGTTTGCTGCCTCTGGAAGATGTCAAGAGCTGGAATAACTGTCTCCATCACTAACACACATTGTGTTCCATTGAAAGAGAGAGTGTGTGTGTGTGTGTGTGTGTGTGTGTGTGTGTGTGTGTGTGTGTG